GAAAGCAGAGGAATACAATAGACCTAAGAAGCCGTAGTGTTCTGGGATAAATCTAACCCTACCTGCTCATAATCGATAAAGATGACCCAGCTCGCCACAAACTTTTTTCTTGTTATTTTTATTCATGAGTTTTTTACCTGTAGTATTTTTTTTACAATAATATTTACATATTTTGTCTTACCGCCGATTAAGTAAATGAATTGGCTCCAGACCGTAAAGGTTAGGTAAATTAGTTTCGGTTTTATTTAATTTGAGAATTACCATGTTTGTGCCCAGTTAAATATTTTCAAATTGGAATTAAGGGGTACAAAAGGATTTAAAGACTATCTTGTGCTGAGATTAGCGGACTTCCTGTTTTCAGCCAATACATTTTTGTTAAAATTGGTTTGCAAACTAATGATTTATAAATCCAAACTTACTAGTGTAAAACTACTACTACTAGTAAAACAATATAAAATTTTCTCACTTGTATGTGACATAAAAACTAGTACCACAAATAATATTTTTCGATGTTGATTTAATTATTATTTATTTGTTCTTTTACATAGACAGGTACGAAATTTTCAACACGAAAATCATAACTAACAATGAGTTGAATAGGGGATAAAATGATCATGCACATATCAGGCTTCTCGCGCATACATCTGTGTTTGATGTATGTAGTGGGTGAGCAGAAGCCGAAGTCGCATCTAAGCTATTAAATTGTGTTCAACTCAATGAAAGGTATAGTTTGCATGTTAAAAATCCCGTACCAGTATACTTGACGATCCTTATAGTTCTAATGTAATTTTTGTTTAACTACTGTACCTAAAATATGTTTTTCTAATTTTGACATATAAAGTGACATTTTTTGTAATAGCAGCAAGTGTTAAAATGATATAATTTATGCAACCATTATAAAACTTGTTCCGAAAAATTTATTGGCACCACAAAAATAAACCTTTTTTTGGTTTAAAAATCAATATACATTATTATTGAAAGTTTTTATCAAAGAAGGAAATGCTGACTATATAAAAATAGAATTTGGTCAGTGAACTTATAAACTAGTAATAATGTTGTTTTGGTCTTTATTTTCCATTCTAAATCACCACAAATTAATCAAAACGCAATACATAACAAAATAACCCACTTTATTTGAAACAAAATAACATTAATGAGCAATACACACTAGAAGAAGTCGTTGTTAGTAAATTAATATGATTTTCTATTTGTCAATAACATGAATAAAGTTATGCATATGCAACTAATAATACAAGAAACTATAATGGTTACATAGATGTCAGTAATTTTTACTAGATTATTTATAAAATTGTGTTTTTGGTAAAAAATTACTAACATCTAGGCAACCAATATTACTTCTTTTTTGTATTGTTAGTTGCATATGATTAACTTCATTCTTTTATTGACAAATAGAAAATCATTTTCATTTATTCTCAACGACTTATTGTAGTGTGTTTATGTTGCTTGTAAAAATTATTTAGATTTCAAGAAAGTGGGTTATTTTGTCGTGTATTGTGTTTGAATTATTTTGTGCTGATTTAAAACGGAAAATAAGGATCAAAACATTGATATACATTTTCAATAATAACAAAACCGAAAAGAGTTTATTTTATTTGTTTTCTTTTCGCAACTGGTAAAAGAATGAATTTTTCGAAACCAGTTTCATAATGTTCAACATTATGCAACTGGTTACGTAAAGTAGATGCTGCGTTTACAAAAATGCCACTTTATACGTCAAAATTAGAAAAATGGCTATTATGAAACCATATTAGACAGTGTTAGGCATTCCAACGACCTGTCAAACAATAGCTGCCAGTGGGAAGGTCTCGTATATATAAGGGGGTAGCGACAAAGTTTTGCATCATGGACGTTATTTTTATTTGAACAAGTACTTGCCAAGCCTGCCAATTTATCAAAAATGTATAAGCGGTTTTTTTTAAATAATATTTTTATTGCGTTGAACATAAAATACTTAAACAGAATCCATTATTTATTATTTTACATATTGTAGATATAATACATTGTATGTCGCAACCCTTAGATATACCAAACCTTCCCACTGGCAATTCATTTGTTTGGAATGCCTAATAAGTAAGAATCTTATATCTCTACGATTTACTAATAATAAAATTTTAATTTAAAAAAATATATTTTAAATAAAAACACAAAATTGAGATTGCGCCCCTTTCAGTATATATTTAATTATGTCACTGTTTAAAAAAGTGTAGATGTGTAGATTTTTGCAGCGATTAATATTTGATTATGATCAGGATTCTTTTTTGCGTATTTTCAAATAATTGATTTGAATTTTAAATATATTTAATATCCTTGACTGAATAAAAAATAAAAAGATTAATGTATATCATCTTTTATTGAAAGATTGAGTATCGTAAAATTTTATCTAATATTCCTTTCGATATCATTGTTTTTCAAAATGATAAATTATTAAATATTTAATATCGAGCGCCAATATACTGTATATTCATTGTTTCAGTTTATTTTTAGCATTTGTAGATAATGTAAATATGTATTTTTTTCTAGTTGTAAAAATTATTTATTACAATAATTTTATAAAAAAATCTATTGTTTTTGATTTTTCCTTTTTATAAAAATAAAAACTTACACTTTGTCGGTAGGTATCCAGGTACGAGCCCTAACCACTATATGTTCGGCCTTTTCATAAATTTATTTCAGATATTTATTAGGACACTTATGTTTATGTTTATATTTGTTTTTGATCAAATCCTTAATTTTTATGGAGTTGCTTCACCGCGACCCATTTTCAATAACAAATAAAAATAATACGTTAGAAACTGTTACAAAGATACCGTCACCACATACTTTGATTCACATACTTTTATTACTATACGGGGAAAGAGAGAGGTCCGACACGCCCAACATAGGGCGCGGCCATTTTGATTCCTATGACACAGTTTACAGATAAAGAATCAGATCGCTCACTCTGCGTCGGCACTTTTGATCTCAATGTTCCAGTTTATACACTACGCAACTCGGATAATACATGTGGATAATACAATATATGACAACCGCCTATAATAAAACAGTAATCTTTTGGGTATCCTGCAGCAGCAAGCAAAATATTAGGTGCGTTTTAATCATCCGCTTCTGTTTCCGGAATTGTCGGTTTGGTCGTTTTAACCTGTCAGATTAAAACAAGAAAACCGACAATTCCGAAGAAGAAGCGGATGATTAAAACGCACCTATTAAAAATATTGCGCCAAGATGTAGGCAACACGTAATAAGGTATCAAAATGGCGGAGTTTTCTATCTCCTTTAAAAAGGCACTCAGAAAGCTGCGCAGTGTGATCATTCTCCGTATAGTAAAAGAAAATCAAAGTATGTGCTTTGATTACTATACGATGCAAGAAAGAGGTCCGACACGCCCAACATAGGGCGCGGCCATTTTGAATGCCTTTACCACAGTTTATATCTAAAGAATCAGTTCGCTCACTCTGCATCGGCACTTTTGATCTCAATGTTCCAGTTTATACACTGCGCCAACTCGGATAATACAATATATGACAACCGCCTATAACAAAACAGCAGTCTTTTGCGTATCCTGAATTTGTATCCCTGGAGTGGGTGTTATTTTGGAACTTTCAACTGGTCCGAGTGAGCTAACTGATTCTTTAGCAATAAACTGTGACTCCAAAAATAATATTCACTGACACTGGCAGCAGCAAGCAAAATATTAGGTGCGTTTTAATCATCCGCTTCTGTTTCCGGAATTGTCGGTTTGGTCGTTTTAACCTGTCAGATTAAAACAAGAAAACCGACAATTCCGAAGCAGAAACGGATGATTAAAACGCACCTATTAAAAATATTGCGGCAAGATGTAGGTAACACGTAATAAGAGTTCAAAATGGCGGAGTTTTCTATCTCCTTTTAAAAGGCACTCAGAAAGCTGCGCAGTGCGACCATTCTCTGTATAGTAAAAGAAAATCAAAGTATGTGATCGACACATAAGTAGTAAATCCTTGTCTCTTCGATAGACTTTCTATCTCAACTGCCAAAGGTGCTACTTTCTGTTCTTAATACACAAATAGCTATTTTGTCTTTTATCCCAAAATATGCTTTACAAAATATCAGTTATCTTATAACACCAAATAAATCTATTGACCTGATTCTTCACCAAGAGTGTTTGTAGGAGTAACCATTGATCGAAATGTCACAAAAGAAGCTTCCTTCAGTTTTTTTTTCTATTTGGACAAATTAGAAATAAAGTATCTCTTGATAATCTTAAGCTAATGTGTTTTAGCCTTGTCCAGATATTATAAGATCATTGCTGATTACTCCTAAATGAGTTATTATACCATTACACAAATAATGCTAAAAATAGGTGTCGTGACATGCCACTTAAATGGCATGTAATGGAAAAATCCTATTTGTATATTAATGTATCTAAAATAAAATTGTTTTATTGTTTTTAATAATTATTCTTTTTTCGACCTGTAGAAAAGGATTTCTGACAATACCCATGTAAAAATAATAATAAATGGCTTTATATTTTTACTTGCTCTTCATGTGTTTAAAAAAAATATATATATATAATAAAATACTAACAAAAATGTTCTTCCACTTTGAACTACCTACTATTTTAATCTATCAGAAAATATATAAAATGACTTTTTGAATACCCTGTACAAATTGAAAATGTTTTCTTTTTTACCTTTGATTCCGAAGACCCATAGGTTATTGATTTGGTCATCAAATAATTTTTACTAAAAATATAATATGTAAACCCTCCCGAAACATTACGTCTATGTGCGACGTACGATTCCCCTTCCCCGTCTGGTATAACATGCGGACAGAAGGTGTATTGGGTATACAGTGTGTAGGGCGAATCTATCTTAGATAATATGATGTCTATGATAACAGACAATACAAGATAAGAAACTTCAGGTTAGTATTTTTTCTATAACCAATTAAATTGTAAATTTACATAATATGTACAGTAGATAATAATTGTTATTACTTACATTTACTCCATGTTCAGTATAAAAATCGGCAGTTCCCAAACTGGCGTACAGTTTATATCCCATCTTCTGAAGTGACCTCATGCTTGGCAGCAATTCCATTTTATGCTAAAACACCAAATGCTTACTATTTTTAATACCATACATTTTTATAAACTTACCTTAAACGTGCCAATGGACAATAAAATACTGGACTTCGGTATGCTGAACCCAGTGCTCATCATAGCCTTCAAATAAGCTTCATACCTATTATCACCAAAACATGCTACCTCCCCTGTCGAAGCCATTTCTACTCCCAACATGAAGTCTGCACCTGCTAGCCTTGAGAAAGAAAATTGAGGTACTTTAACTCCTACTCTTCCGCAACCGTGCAGTACATCCACCGGGACTACCTCTTCTCCCACCATTACTCTTGTAGCCATTGCAACGAAATCGTGATTAAGCGTTTTGGAGACAAATGGGAAGGATCTAGATACTCTTACGTTGCACTCTATTACCTTAAGATCGTTATCCTTAGCGATTAGCTGCATATTGAAAGGTCCTGTAACCTCCAAATTGGCTGCAATAGACTTCACAATATGTTTAATCTTCACTAGAGTTTCTGGATTAATATCCTGCGGAGGTGTTACGAGAGTGGCGTCTCCAGAATGCACACCAGCATTTTCGACGTGTTCTGATACTGCCATACATAAGATAACTCCATCGCAGGCTACGGCATCTACGTCTATCTCTTTGCTTTCCAATAAAAATTTAGATATTACTACTGGGTGCTCCTTGCTGACATCGCTGGCTGCGTTAAGGTAGGTTTCAAGATCTTGGTTCGAATGAGCTACGTTCATAGCTGCACCGCTAAGCACGTACGACGGTCTTACTAGACACGGATATCCTACTTCTTCGCAAAACTCTATAGCCGATTTTAGATTGGTGAGTTCTTTCCATCTAGGTTGCATGATACCGATTCTGTCTAACATACGAGAAAATTTAAATCTATTCTCAGCCCCGTCTATGGAGTCTGGAGACGTGCCTAATATTCGAGCCTGTTGCCTGTGTAAGTCCATTGCGATGTTGTTAGGCAGCTGTCCTCCCATAGAAAGAATGATACCGTTTGGCTCTTCAAGATTGTAAATATCCATGACTGTCTCGAAAGATATTTCTTCAAAATACAATCGATCAGACATATCATAATCCGTACTTACAGTTTCAGGATTGTAATTAATCATGATAGTTTTCTTATTAAGCCTACGGAGTTCTCTTAAACAACCGACAGCGCAAGAATCAAATTCTACTGAACTTCCTATACGGTAAACGCCCGAGCCTAGTACCATAGTATGATCTTCGTCAAATGTTAAATCATGATTCAATGCATTATATGTAAGGTAAAGATAATTTGTGGTAGCAGGCCATTCTGCAGCTACAGTATCAATTTGTTTTACGAAAGGCGTTATATGGGACTCTTCACGTTGCATACGGATAGCTAATTCGGTACTTTTAACGGCTGCAGCTATTTGTTTATCAGAAAAACCCAATTGCTTAGCTTTAAGCAGAGTACTGTAAGTCAAACTATGTTGATCAAAAGTTTCTAGTAGATTCGTATAATCTATTATATTTTTCATTTTTTGCAAGAACCATTTATCTATTTTTGTAAGATCATACAATTTTTGAACGGAGTAATTATTTTTTAGAGCTGCTGCTAGAACAAACATTCTTTTATCTGTAGGTTCTTGAAGCTCCTCATCGTTCACGGGTTTCAAGTAGGGATCGAAACCGGTAACGTTCTCGTCGACCATTCTCAAAGCTTTTTGGAAAGCCTCTTCGAATTTTCTCCCAATAGACATAACCTCTCCTACACTCTTCATAGAACTTCCTATCTTGCTACTAACTCTTGTGAATTTATGAAGGTCCCATCTTGGTATTTTTACTACACAGTAATCTAAACTCGGCTCGAAGCAAGCTGTTGTAACTCCCGTAACTGAATTGTTTATATCAGGAAGGGGAATTCCCAAAGCCAATTTAGCAGCTACATAGGCTAAGGGATACCCAGTAGCTTTACTAGCTAGAGCAGAAGACCTGGATAATCTAGCGTTTACTTCAATAATGTAGTACTCTTCAGAATGTGGACTTAAAGCATATTGGATATTACATTCTCCTACTATACCAAAATGTCGAATTACTTTTATAGCAGTCGTACGCAGCATGTTGTATTCTTGATTTGATAAAGTTTGGCTAGGGGCTACTACGATAGATTCTCCAGTGTGAATACCAAGAGGATCCACATTTTCCATGTTACACACAGTTATACAGTTATCAAACGCATCTCTTACTACTTCATATTCTACTTCTTTCCAACCTTTCAAAGATTTGTCGATAATCAACTGGCTCGAATGAGCTAAGGCTTGTAAAGCAAGACTTTTTAATTCTTCTACATTATTGGCAAATCCAGAACCTAAGCCTCCCAATGAGAATGCAGCTCTTGCCATAACTGGGTAGCCCAATTGCTCTGCTGCATCTAAGGCTTCTTGAACAGAATGAGCAGCCATACTAGGAGCTACTTTTTCACCAATTTTTGCTATTCTTTCACTAAAAGCTTTTCGATCTTCCGTATCAATAATTGCTTGGATTGGGGTTCCTAGAATTTTACAGTTGTATTTTTTGAATACACCTTGTTTTTCGAGTTCTATTCCGCAATTTAGACCAGTTTGTCCTCCAAAAGTTAATAAAACACCGCTTGGTCGTTCCGCACAAATCACTTGCTCAACATACTCGGGCACTAGTGGAAGAAAATACACTTTATCTGATAAACCTTTTGATGTTTGAACTGTGGCGATATTGGGATTAATCAGAACGGTTTGTATGTTGGATTCCTTTAAAGCTTTGATAGCTTGAGAGCCTGAGTAATCAAATTCACCGGCTTGTCCAATAGATAGTCCACCGGATCCTATTATAAGAACCTTCTTTGGTGGTGATGAGGTGCTTAGAGGTAGTTCTATTTTATATTTGAGAGTTTCCGTCATTAAATCTTTTATATTAATTGCTGGTCCTTTTTTTATTGCTTCTAGGAAGACGTCAAAAAGATTTTCGAGATCCTGGGGTCCAGCCATGTGTTCGGGATGAAACTGAACGCTGAAATAGGGCAGTTTAGTGTGGATAATTCCTTCGTTTGTTTTATCATTGACATTCGTAAAGAGGGGTGCCCAATCTGAAGGCAAAGATTTAGTGTCTATGGCAAAACCATGGTTCTGCGAAGTCATGTAACATCTTCCGGTATCGTGGTGAACACACGGCTGATTATGACCACGGTTTCCGTATCTAAAAAATGTTTAGTTAAAAACAAAGTGTGATAACGAATTAAACAATATGCTTACTTCATTTTGTAACTTGTACAGCCAATAGCCATGGAAAGAAGTTGATGCCCTAAACAAATACCAAATATCGGTTTGACTTTTTTGGAGTTTAATATAGATTTAATATTGTCGATAGTTTCTTTACACATTTCTGGATTTCCAGGCCCGTTGCTTAAAAACAATCCATCGTATTCATCAATGTTGAATTTATGGTTCCATGGTACCACGTCTACTCTAGCTCCTCGGTTGAGGAAGCATCTTATCTGATTGTATTTCAAACCGCAGTCTATGACACATATTCTGGGGGAACCTTTGGGATTGTATGTCACTGATTTCTTAAAAAAATACTTCTGTTAGGAAACTAAAATTATTTTAATTAATTTTCTTACTTTAACTGAGACTTCTGCAACCAAATTCTGTCTATTGGGATCTACTATTGTGCTTGGTCCAACAGGGTTTGGCAATGTATACACAATTCTTCCCAGCATAGTACCTTTCTCTCGAATTTTTTTTGTTAGCTGCCTGGTGTCAATTCCTTGTATTCCCGGTATGTTTTCTTGGTCCATCCAGTCGGAGAGAGTTCTCGAGCTACGCCAGTGGCTTGGAAAATCACAGTGTTCCCCAACGACCAGAGCTGAGGCCCATATGCGGTGTGATTCAAAGAAACTGAAAGTAAACGCAATTATTTATTTTTGCATAAGTTACTTAGAGTGCAGTGATTATTTTTATTGGAAGTGAAAAAAGGTTTATAACTTTTAAATCATCACAAAACTTACTAAGGTAGGCCATTCTCGTCCTTTTTCTCGTCTGGTACTCCGTAGTTTCCAATAAGCGGGTACGTTAGGATCAAAATTTGGGAATGATAACTTGGATCTGTTAAAGATTCGGGATATCCTACCATACCAGTCTGAAAAACTGAAACATAACAAAATTGGAAATTATTAAATTATTTCTAGAATCAGTAGTAGAATGAACGGTTACTTCGAGTGGCGATGGCGTAATTTATTTAGACCAATGCCGACTCGAAATATTCTTTTAGTTCCTTCTTAAATACAGAGATTGGAGATGATTTAATAGAGGTTGAGATAAAGTTGAAGAGTTTGCAAACACATTACGTAAATCCCCTTTTAAACATAGCTGTTTTATGTAGGTACTAGAGATCATGATTAGTTTGTATCTACCTTAAATTTAAATTATACATCATTACCAGTACGAACGGTAATTTTTTGGTAAAGGTACGGTGGGTTTTTCTTGACGAGAATTTTTTGATAAAGAACACAACAATGTAGTTCTCTTAACGTACACATTTTTAAACATTTAGCTTCTGCAGAACGCAAGTCGGAAGCCTGTGTGAGATCTGTATACCCATTTATAAATGGTAATGTTATTACCCGTGACGCCATCTATGTTTCAGCTACATATAAGTGTTTCTCCTTATATCACAGTCATCTGTAGTCTGTGACCCCGTAGGATTATAGAGCCACGAGTACTAAATAAGAGTCAGATGCGCATTGTCTCGTATTACAACTTCGTATTTCATCTTGAGTTTTGTCTAGTATTATAACCATTACTGAATTACTGTGTTTATCAGAATACTAGAGAATAAAAGCTTACAACAAGGTGTTGTTTTATTGAGTAGTGTATAAATAAGGCATACATCACAGCCTGCATCTGCCTGAGCAAGAACAGGCTTCGTATTGTAACAGGGATCCTTACCGGGCATTATTGACTTAAAGGACACCTTAGTAAACTGAGAGTAGTAGAGGATAGTGAGTGCAGATTCTGTGAGGAGGAGGACGAAACCTCCATTCACCCTCTAACTGAATGTGTAGTACTCCAGAATCCAAGGGCACTAGGAGGATATCAAATAGAAAAGAGAGAGAGAGAGAGATTTACCTAACACGAAGCCACTCCAAATCCTACACTTTCTTGGGAAGATAGGATTGGAAGGGTCGTTATAGGCATTGAGAATTTCCTTGGTGCATTAGCGACATAAGGGGCACAATAGATCTTTTAGATCGCAGTGTATTAACACCCCATTCCCAACAAAACATCTCAAGAGAATGTATATTATATTTACTTATTATCACGTCTCATAATTAATTTAATTTGTAAATTGTGGTAGGAAAATTGTTGGGTTTTATTTATCTATAGTTAATGAATATTAGTTTTAGTTATCTAGATACCTGTCACATAATTATTTGATTTATAAATTATGTGAAAGGCAAATTGTTGGCAACTAAATTATTATTATTATAATCACCCCATTATCCATTATTAATTGTTATTAAACCAAATGAGTACAATAACACAACGTCTCTAAAAAATTGCTTAACGTTGTTCTATTTCTAACTGACAAGAATTCATCGAAATTAAGTTTTATTATTCAAAATATTGTGTATTAGAAAACCTTGGCAATATTTTAAAACGGTAATTATGAACTTATCATTTATTACATAAGTATCGCTTTATTCTAAACTGTTATTATAACATTTGTTTTGTTTTCCAGATCTAACCCAACTATTTAATAAAATGAATTACATACCTATTATAAAAATTGTTTTTTTAACCCTACTTTCCCAATTATTAAAAACCATAAATATTTTGTGCACAAAATTTAATTAACTTAAAAGGAACTAACAATAAACAGATACTTTATTCTATTTTTTATTACATATATAAGCGGTACTCATAACAAATCAATAAAAATAATTTACAAAAGAATCGATATTATTAAAAAATATTAGTACAAAAATTTTGAATTTATAAAACCTATCATTGCAACGTTTATTCAAATTATTTGTGTATAAAAATAATGTATGTTTTTAATTTAAAAAATATATGTATTAGTCGACTAAAAAATTCATTTTTGACGGTTTTCTATAAACATCTCATATCAGAATCATTGATCCATTGAAATATCTCAAAACTAATAAAATAATATAAATCAAAAGCATTTCTATTGACATTTATTTGATACGCTACTGGATAATAAAACAAACAAACCCCGCTCTTCCCCTCCTAACAACTGGCTTGTATATGTTGCTTTCAAACAAACGCAATGTAAATTTTTGACATTCAGTTATCTATTATTATTTATTTATCTGAGGTTCTGTCAATAAAATTATGCATATGCAACTAACAATACAAGAAAGTAGCAGTACTGGTTGCGTATATGTCAGAAATTTCTTACCAACATACAATTTTATAAATAAATAATCTAGTCAAAATCTAGAAACATATTTATAAAAGTTTAAGAATATAACCAATTTGGGTAAACAAAACGAACAAAACGCACTCAAAAAAAAAAAAAAAAAATACTGTCATTGGAACCTAAATTGCGCCATCACTAATTTAGCGTATTCTGTCCCTCTGCTTGAAAAGTTTTTCAGTAGGTGGTGCATCTGTACGATACTGCGCAGGGGCGACTCGAGGAGTATGTCCATTACAAAAGTAGATTCCTAAATTTTTTGCTTCATCTTTTCTAGGAATAAAGAATAAAGAAACATTTAGCAGGATTTAATAATAAAGAATGCGTTGAAGAGTTAAATTTACTGTCATGAAATTCCTAATCCGACCCTGTGTACGCGCGCAACTTTCACATGGCAACCGACTCGTGATCGAAGCAACGCTGCAGTGTGAAAACAATCGGACCGCGTCTCGAATATACAAGAAACGACGGAATGCCTGCCGCTGATGCACTAGAAACAGCTGGAACGGCGGGGAGTGCCGTTTAGTCATAGAAGTGGAATCTTCGAGACCCTCTAGCATCTTCCAGTAGCGGAGTTGGACTAATATAAATAGCCGACGTATCAGCGCCGAGTTAGTTTAATATAGAACATTGTATTGAGAAAAGTTAAAGTGTAAGAAATAAATTAGAATTGTTAGTTAGTGTCCTAAGTATTATATAAATTAAATAGTACGTCTGAAATAAATTGTAAATAGTGTGTTTTAAATAAATAAACTAAAAATAAATTAGACTTTTGTCACATAACATTATTACAGCCAGAAAATAGGTAGATAGCATAAAATGGAGTAGTATAATAATTAAAAGTCGACAGCGTTAATTTGTAGAGAAAAGTGATTAATCGCCTTTAGAAATGAAGCTGTATATAAAGAAAATAAAACTGGGCCTATTATTGATTTTTGAAATATATGTATTATATGCGATTTTTGATTATTTAATGTTAACCTATGCTGTCTATTGTTTAGGTAGCTTTTAAAAAAATTCACCGAAAGATCACTTGATTTAATGAAAGCTAAGATTTTTAAAACCACAAAAAATATTTTTAAAGTAGGCCTGTGGAAAATTTACTCATGTCGGAGCGTATAATTATTTTTAATAGGTTATTAGGTTTTTAATAGGTATCTCAATTAGTTCTTGCATCAAAACAGTTGACGATTAACCAAAATTCCATAAAAAAATGGAACAAATTCCAAAAATTGTTGTTTGGAACATTAAATATATCAACAAATTAAAAAAATTCTTGATACTCAATTTTGAATGCTTTCTGAATAATATGAAACTGTATTGAAGATATTGAACACAAGCAGGATTTTCTATGAAGAGTATCCTTTTTTTTTTTTTCGTAAAATCCAAAAATTAGCAATTTTAATATGAAATTAGAATGGAAGAAAATTAAGAAAAGCAGAAGCAATTCAGGCATATACAGGGAGCTTCATTAATGTTGAATTTTTGGACCAAAATATTAATATTTAACAAAAAATACTAAAATAAGATCCAGGGTTTTATTTCCAATTCTACGCTACTGGTACCATTTTGTAACTCTTTAATGTTGTCTAAATAAATAACGTAATCTTGTTTTATTAATATGAGATAGGTACAAGATATTTACGTTTGAAAAGAGGAGTAAACTCAGATTTTAACATTTATCAATAAATGACGATGACACCGTGATTTATAGAATTTAGAGTTGATAAATTATACCTCTGCCTCTATTTCTATCGAATTATATGACAAATAAATATTAATATATAACTTATGTAGGTATATTTACTGTAATAAGGTCAAGTTGATAGCAATACCAATAATAGGAAAGCATTGCAAGTGAACCTTGCAAATTTGAAATTAATTGAGCTGTAGGGGAGACTGGGGAGGGTTGAGCCACTTTTTTTAGAGACATGGTTTTCTGTCTTGTTATAATAATCCCATTATGTTTTTTACATATTGATTAACTATTGGTTTTAATTTTTTAACACAATAGCAAGATTATTTTAAAAATTGTTATTTAAGCAAAAAATAATTGATTTAAGTACCACACGCACTTGTCTCAAACCTCCTTTATGAAGGGAGGCTTGAGACAAGCAAAGGGAAGTTTGAGGTAAGCGTAGGGAGGCTTGAGACAAGAGTAGTAGGTAACGATAAAGTCACGAGTTAAAGCAAATTTATTAAAGACAGTTAACGAATTGTTTAACCATTTCCTGCAATAATAATAATAATAATAATAATAATAATAATAATAATAATAATAATAATAATAATAATAATAATAATAATAATAATAATAATAATAATAATAATAATAATAATAATAATAATAATAATAATAATAATAATAATAATAATAATAATAATAATAATAATAATAATAATAATAATAATAATAATAATAATAATAATAATAATAATAATAATAATAATAATAATAATAATAATAATAATAATAATAATAATAATAATAATAATAATTAACAAAAAAATACACATTGGTTCTTGAAAAAAATAAAAGAATACAGTAGTCATAAAAATATTTGCCAAAAAAACTAGAATACATTTTCATATTTGGAAAAATCGACTGGAAAAGAAAGGGTCCTATGTGTTCTTGCTGTTCCTCCAGTAAATGAGGGGTTTGGTAAATTAACCAAATCGTCCCTATGTGCGCAACATTCATCGG